TATATATAATGCATATAGATAGATATATTATATGCATGTAGATATGGATATGGATATATATTTCAAGAGTACATAATAGGAGATCTCTATTATTTCTATTATCTCTATTATCTACTCTTGATATATGTGTGTACCGTCTATCAGGAGCTAATAATGACAAATTTTGTCAAATTTGTCATTATTAGCTCCTGCGTCTATGTAAACGGGATATAAACATCAACGCACGCCACGTAGGTACTGCTCGTTGTTGGTAAACAACATTTTATAAACATACGCGTTGTCATGCATTAGTTCCGATTGCATGTGACTATACCGGGGTTGAATCGTTGGTCGTTTGGAGTGTCTAAGGTGGTGTACAGTAGTAAAGGGCGTCCATAGGCAGCAGGCTTGAATAAGTATCGAACAGAAATTAATTGAAATTAAATACTCAGAGAGATTCGTCGCATACAATTTATACATTCTAAATAACAACAGATTCAATATACTAGACTACAATATGTAGACAATATGTCTCACTATGTGTAGTCTAGACAATATGTCTAGACTACACTCGAAACTTTTCCCAGCTAAGGCCCATTCCAGCCCATTCCATTCCCAGCTAATTCCATTCCCAGCTAATTAAGGCCCATTCGCACCAGAGCTACGCTCATCACGATCGCCCCACGCTCCAAAAATTTGCCCGAGCGTGGTGAGCGTGGTTGAGAGCGTGGCCAATTGGGCCCCAGCCGGGCCGCGAAATTTTTTTCCCCAAACGGTATAACCATAGAAATAGATAGATAACTAATAACTATCTAACTATAAGTTATCTATCTATTTCTATGGGTATAACATAGGAAGGATTTAGGCGCTTTCTGATTGGCTGGAATTTGGCAAGATGTCAGCCTCCATGACTTGACTTGTAGCCAAAATCTACCAAAAACTTTCCCGAACTTTCTGTAAGTTAGGTTAAAGTATAGTTTTAGTATGTTTTCTTTAAAACAACATGGGTTTGAGTGAATTAACCCAAATATCATGCCGTTTCTTGACTGATTTGCTTTGACTGAAGAAAACCTTCAAGGCAAGAGAACAAACGCCGTTTGTAAATGTTTGTTTTGGTTTATGACCGCTAGATAAGTATAAGTTTTCTGATGTATTTTCCATGAAAGACACATATTTTACTCAATATTCTAACATATAATATTACTATAATTGCAATTTTGTGTGCAAATGTGTTATTTTCATCTTAATGAGAGGGTCTAGGCTTATAGTTATAGCTGCCGAGTTTCTGTAACGTTTATGTTCGTGCCGTGGTCCGATTAGTTTACGTTTCAGCTGACCTCAGGGTTAAACACTAGGTTACTACTACGACTACTACCTACTACTAGCGTCATGCAACGAGTACGAGTACGTATAGCTAGTAGTAGGTAGT